GCGCAGGATATCGGAGTTGCATAGGTCAATTGACCGATTGGACAATAGATCGCAAAAGAGGACGAAGCGTCGATGAACCAATATCATATCGGACAACATTTGATTTAAGCTTTATAATAATTATCTATATCGAAATATATTTTATTTGTGCAGGATTAACTACGATAGCGATCAAGGCATAAAGCAAAATAAAATCCCGGAGTCAAGAATGAGATTTCGTTGGGAGTTCGACAGTTAATCGAAAGTCTGAACATTCGTCATAAGTTTTGCCGGAATTGATCGAGAAGTCCAGGAGCTTGCCAAAGAAACTCATTGGAACTCGCCAAGAAGATTATCGTGAAGTCCAGGAGCTTGTCGGGAGTCCGTTGGAATATTGCCGAGAGATCGTCGGAAGTTCGCCGGAAGCTCGTTAGAAGAAATCCATACTTACTAGACTTATTAAGCTTAGTGTATGTCTTAAAATTCATAGTTAGCACATAATTGGATTAGAATTGGCCTAACTCAATTAGGGGTCAATTGGGCCCAAGTTTAGATTGTGTTGGGCCAAGTGAAAGGCACAAATAATGACCCAACTAGTGAAATTGTCATGACATAATCTCCGAGACTATGTCAGGCAATGGTACCACCTAGACACAGTCTTCTAGGTGATGGTACCGCCAGACTAGGTGATGGTACCGCCCAGTGTTAGTGTCAGTGTCAGATTGGCAAGTGGTGGTACCGCCAATACCTCGAAGACCTAGGATAAGACATTTTTAGGCTCTAAGTTTGAATCAACTTAAGGCCTATAAATACCCCTCTCATCCTTAATTAAAACACACAAAAATTGAAAGTGAAAAAGAAAGAAAATGTTGCTGTAATCTTGTGTGAACTCCTCTCAAACTCTAAGTGTTAGTGAAGTTTAAGAGAGGAGATTGTGGGGGTTATAAAGATTCTCTCTTGAACCTGCCAAAAGGAGAATCGAGTTATAAGGATAGTTGATCTTCGCCCATTAAAAGAAGATCGTTAGTGGATGACGGTGGCCTCGACGGAAAGAGAATCGATGGAGTGGATATAGGTCACGACGATCAAACCACTATAATTCGGCTTATATTTTTGTTTTGCTATTTACCTTAACTTTAAACTGTCTTACTTATTTTACATCCACTACACTCTTCCATATGCTTTCAAGTTAATATCTTCTGAAATGGGTTTAATCACAACAAGATTTTCAACGACGTAATTTTTATCCACTGCACTAATTAACCCCTCTCTTAGTATCGACTCGTTCCTAACATATTTGTCATCTAAGTAAACTTGTGCCTCTCATCATACTTCAAAAAACTTACAAAGTCAAACATTGATATTCTCGCTAAGTTCCTAATCACATTAAATCTTTTGGATTTTAATGTGAAAAGAAAGTATATAGAAACATAAAAAATAATATAAAAAATATAATAATTATAATAAAATTAATTAACATAAAATTAAATTTACATGGCTCAAAGAACGAAGATATAAGAAATACAGCACTCTCTTAATTTAAATCCAAGTCAGAAGCATCTTTTATGCTCTCATCAGTCCCTTACATTATTTCACATAAAATATAAAAAAATAGTTTAGTTTTCTATAAACCCTCTCAAAATATATATTTTGTCTCCATTCTTCTCATTATAAAAGTCTTAATATATTTATGATATTTATAAAACAATCAAATATTCAAATATTTTTTATGCTCAAATTGTAAGATTGAACATGTAAAATATAATTAAGCATGATTGAAATATAAATTATCATAGATCGACAATAGGATGCGTGTTTTTTAATGCCATCATCGTATAGTATACCTTGGATGTCCGTGATCGATGAAGTATGGATCAATTAAGAGGCGAGACACATGATCTCATATGTTATCACGTGATTTATAAGATCATTAGGAGGTCCGATTATTATATAAAAAATTATATATTTCTCTCAATATTTTTATAATATAAATTTTTAAGATATTTAGGAGTTATATATAAAAAAGATAATTATCTCCAAGATTTTCCAAGATATGAATTTTCTTTCTGTTAGAATCAAATTAGATCTTTGATATATTTTATCATATATAAATTGAGCCATAAAATTAGTTTTTGAACTAATTTAATTACTATTTAAAATTCAAAAGTAATTATCGATCGGTGACGATGGCGTGGGTTTAAGGGTACAGAACAAGGGATGGGGTTTGGTGTGCGTGATGCATTTCCAGGGTCGCTGCTCATCAACCTCTCTTGCAATAATGCTCTTCCGATGTCATTATAACTCGAGCTCTTGCATGTTGTTGATGAACTGATGCACCGTGAATGATGAGTCAGCATGGCTTGGTTCACGGGTCAATGTCGGGAGTCTTCGGTCGAGTGAGCTGGTTGCCGAGGTCGATCGTGCCCTTCGGACGGGGTGCTACCGTCGGAATGTTGAAAGCGTCTCTTTCGATCGGGATGGTCCCACCTTAGGGAGATTCGCTTTCCCACACAGAAGGCCCCCGTCGAGTGTTTTCCGACTATGGCCCCTTTGACGAGTAAGTCAGTAGTGGATTGATCTCTCTCTCTCTCTCTCTCTC